TCGCTGGCATTCCTGTGCAGCCTAATGCCCAAAGATATTTCTTGGGGCCGCCACAGCCGTCGTTGGCCTTATGAGTATGGAATGCTGCCCAATCTCACCAGGAGCAACATGACTAAGGACATGGTAGTTGATGCCACGACCATTCGATACCTTGTGCTTTTGAGATCAATACTAAATTGTTGGATATTCGGTAGTGAAGTCAGATTAACCAATATACCCCTAATAGGGGGTACAAAAATGTGACTGCCACATTGACTGGAGCCTGAGACTCCTCTTCTAGGCTCCTCGAAAGACTCCACTCTAAACGCCGGCGCGTCTGCAGGAGCAGGAACAAGAGCCAGAGCTGGAGCTGGAGATGGAAGCTAAAAGCTGGAGTTGGAGCAAAACAAGAACGATGTAAATTAAACGAATACCTTTCCACAGCGCCGATCTTTCATCATCGATGGCCGCATCCTTTTCCATCCCGCCCGCCCTCTGGATGTCCTCCAGTTGCTTATAAAGTTATTTCATCTTTATTTTCAATCACTGAACCGACAATTTCTGATTTTTTCCATTTCTCGATTTATTGAATTTCGTATAAATTAAAATATTAAATATTTGCGGCGACAAAACCTTTTAATTACCCAGCTTGTTGTTGATTTCTTTTAAATTTTTTTTTTGTATATTTTTGTGGTGAAATAGTATGGTTTTTGGCCTTCTGGCCGTCTGGGTTAACGAACTCTTATGGCCAAAAAGGTAGACGATTTTGTGTAACGTTTAAATTGAATTTGGATCCCATTCTGAACAATCTGTGTGGGGTCCTCGAGACCCCTCGATATGTATTTGGACAGCCGGTGGGGGGACGTTTTGGGTCACCATTGGGTCTTTTTGGTAAAATTACACCTTGGGAACACCCATAAAAATTAAATATCACAAAAATGATTGACAAGCGAGGTGTTATATTCGCTTAATGCTCTTTGAATATTCAGTGTGGCATTTTCATTTTCATTTTTCCCAACAACCCCCGTCGTCATTGTCGTCATCGCACATATAAATATTCAGGTACATGAAATCAGATTAAATTATCTTAAACAAATTGAGAGTCAGACAAAAGGGCAAACCCGAAACTTTTCTGTCGATTGCCGGAGGGTGAAAACCCCCGAAACTAAAAAAGAGTATATTTTAAATTGTATTTTTTGATCGGACGGTATACCCCCAGTTCCCAGTCAGTGCCCATATGTAGAGGACACTCTAGACTGCAATAATAGACGTTTACTTTCTGGCCGCGGGCTCCCCAATCCTCCAAAGCCAGGAAGAGTAAAGTCAGCCAAATGCTGTTATTGTGCCCTTTGTTGTTTGCGGTTGGCTTTGTGCGGCCCAAGTGGCCAAAAGGCGAATGGAAAAGCCTTTAAAGCCCGGCCAAGCGAGCATCAAAAAATTGCTTTTAATTGCCTTTTAATTGTTTTCGCAAAAACGAGCAGCCCATAACGGTATGCGCATTTGGCCTAATTACTTGGCTCATAACATCACTGGGCTTAGCCAAAAAAAATTAAAGGGTGAGGGTGAGTAAAGTGAGAGTCGGGGAGTCGCCTGCCTTGGCGCGAAAAATTTGTCATTTAATGGACCACTGGGCGTATGATTTGATTGAGCCAGTGACACAGTTCTGGAGTACCAGGGGGAGTCACTCTACTACCAGGGGGGAAGTTCTACTTCATCTCGGAGTTGGATATTTTGATTAGCACCGCGAGCGCAATTGTCAACAATATGATATTATACGAGGTATATCCCAAGGATGAATAATAATCATGGTTCGTTAGGCGATTCAAATGGGATTACAATTGGGTTGTCAAGTTCATGGTGGAAGGAAATGCGATTTTCTATAGGGAGTTGTTGTGAAAATGTTAGGAAATGTTTATAAGCATAAAAGGTTATGAGAAGAGGTTAGAATTATCTATTTTTTGAGGTTATATGTAAGTTGTTTTTAAGGTTAGGTTTGCGTATACTTAATATTTAATATTAATATATTAATACAATATATACCAACAATGGTTATTAGGAGAAGAGAACTCTTTAATTTTTAAATCTATAGGGTTTAAAGTTTCTATAGCATATTTTTAATATTAAATATTTAATAGTTATATTACAGTATCCTTAATTTTCTAAAATCTTTATTCTTAAATAGTTTATAGAGCTATAAATATGACCCCTTATTGAAGTACTTTGATGGTTTCCCTGTAATAAGCTTAAATATCATCATGTATCTGCAGCTGTGCGGCCATGATTCGATTGTATCTTTTACTCCAGCCTCAATTGTGGCGCATGAAAGGTGATCGATACCATAATGAGCGCATTCAGAGGACATCGCCAGCAGGATGCATGTACATGGGCAGCACCAGGAGCAGAGGTGGCACATACATTATGTGTAGGGAGAGGTTATCTTTCAGGCAGATGGCGCAGTGCGTGCGCTATCATTCCGTTCCGTTAGTATCTATGTGTCTGATACCCACACACACACACACACACACACACAACACACTCTCGTTCACGTAATGCAATTGTCCAAAATGTTCAACCAACTACTCAAAAAGTCATCGTTCAGATTTAACAAGAGCTAAGCAGGATGAGGAGGGAGGCCGCGGGCGGGAGGATGGCGGGTTTTTTTGGGGGGTGGGGTGGCACAACAAACCAAAATGTGAAACAGAGAGATGCAGAACGAGATGGCGCGAGGCAGTGCGAGTGAGCCAGCAATGGCTATGTTCATGTAAACGTAGTGCTGCCATGTAAATGCATATACATGTGTATGTACTGGTGCTACCACAGTGGTTGTATCGGAAAATGTTACATCAACAAAGTGGAGAGGGGGGCAGGGGCGTGAGTAAAGGGGTGTGGGTGAAGAGGTGGGGGCTGCCACGGCACGCCTCTGCCCGGCGGCGGCTACATTTTGAAAACTCATTTACTTGTGGCATGTAAACAACTAATCTGTTAACACTCCGGAGTCCGGACAAAGCGCGAACGATACATTAGCGTGTTCTCTCCCTGCCCCGCAGCTCACCTTCCGTGCCGCCACCCCCTCGCTGGATATTTCCGGCTCCCGTCCGTGGGGCAAAGGGAGGCAAGACAAGCCGGTGAGGGGGTGGGCGGTTGACGATGATGAAGCACCAGGAGCAGGAGCCAAATCCAACACTGACAGCGCCACAATAAAAACTTTGCTCGTGATTATTTCCCTTATTCGGCGGCCATAATCAAAAGCTCCCCTTTTTGCCAAAATGAAAACGTGATTTTGCCTTTTGGTTATACATACATACATACATCTATATATATATTTATATATTTGTGTGTGTACTCGGAGCAGGAAGGCTTTGAACGTCGTCCTGGCATAAGGACATGGCTTGCCAGACCACATGGTGTCAAACATTTTTCTACACTTGCACAATATGCTTTGGTTACTGTGGCGCGAAATGAATGCAACAAAGTGTTGTTTAAATACTTCAAAAATTAAAGTCTGTAGGTTTATAAATAATTTATTAGGAAAACACTAATTTTGTGCCAAATACTTATCCAAAAAGACTTGTTAACATAAGCTACTTAGAGTTTAAAAGGGGTCTCTTTTCCTTATTGGAACCATTTTATAAAAATATATCTTCAAAATAAGACGTCTTTAAAGTTTTTGAAAAATTAAATTTATAGAACCATCAGTTTATTATTTATATAGGCGGCTTAAGATATATTTTATTTTTAAATTCTTTCTAATAGCCTCAGCAGAGGCTTCTTCTAACCTTCTTCCTCTAAGAAGAGGAATTCTTCTAACCTCAGCAGAAATATTTTAAATGTTGTTAAAATTCTTGAAATATAATACTCATTTCTAAAGTCTAAATTCTAAAATTCTAAATCAAAGTAAAGATATATAGTATCATATCATATTCTATATAGAATCTATCAAGAATTATACCATTAATAGCCTGATATATCACATTCGATTTGTATTTTTTATTCCCAAAAGTATAATAAAAGTTTCGTTATATAAAACCAGGTATTCTCAATGTCTGAATGCTAATTGATGATAATTTCCCCACATATACAATGTAATAAACCCGATCTTGCCACACTGTGCCGCTGCCTGGGTAGCTCAACTGGCTGACAGGCTCCGTTGGGTTGTTTTATTTGATTTCTTTATCAATATCAGAGCTGCCTGCCTGCCCCACTCCTACCCTCCAGATTCGCCCCTGGCACTCCTATTGTGGACCCTGTTGTTGTCCTGAAACTGCAACTGTATAAGTTCTGCCTGTGTGTGTGTAGGGTTTTATGTACAATTCATTTAAACGTAACCCATGTCGACGCCGCCACCACCAACACCACCTTGACACCACCAACTGACGACCATCTCGGTCGCACACAAATGGCAGGGCGGCTGGGCTAGAGGGAGATGGCCGTACTGGCAGACTGGCAGGAACCACGCCCACCCCGACACCAAAGCCCTGGCGGCCTGGCCCGGCCCGGTGGTGTTTCAGTATCCGTATCTGTAGCTGTTTTCGTATCTGTGTTTGTATCTGTATCTGTGTGTGCGGCAAACTGGTTGTTGGTTGGTATTGGTGGCAGCTCGTTTCTGTTTCCATATCTGTATCTGTGTCTGCCCCTTGTATCCGTATCTGTATCTGTATCTGTATCTGTAGCTGTGGCTGTAGCTGTATCTGTATCTGCAGCTGGCAGGCAGGCAGGCAGGCGGTAGCAGTAGCAGCCGTAGCTGCCTGCCAGAGTATCTGTATCTGTGGCGCGTCATTGTTGTGCTGCTGCTGCTGCTACTGCCTCTGCTGCTGCTGCTGGTGCTGGTGCTGTTGCCGCTTATAACTATAGTTCCATGCCATCCATTCCCGTCGCATAGTGGGCAGCTCAGTTACAAGACCATTATTTGACGTATTTTTTGCCCGTTCGGTTGGTCGTTTGGTTGGTTCTCGCGCTCTCGGTCGTCGGAAAGCGTTACCTATACCACACCATACCGTACTGTATCCGTACCGGATCGGATCGCATCGCATCGCATCGTATCGGATCGGATCGGTTGTATCCATAGCACGGCCATCCACGTATAACCCCCACCCCACCAAACCGAGCCCAGACCGAGCCCCACCCCTTTTGGGAGCAGCAGCTCCACTTGCGGTCCGGGCACCGGGTATCGCATTCATGAGCTGGCTCATTGGCAATCATTTGGATTCGTACGCCATTCGAAACGGTATTGGTGGCCACCTCATCCTGAAACTGTGACAAGGAATCCTCCGACACAGAATCATAAAAAAAACTGAAACGGAATCGGAATCGGTCTAATTAATCCCGCCATTCAATGCGTGTGTGAAGTGTTAATCATATCCAAAGTACCTATCTACCCAAGTGCTTGTGAATAAAGTTTTAAAAAGGATATACCAATTCAAATCGAAAGTATAAAAGGATAAGAAAACAGTGACTGACATTCAAGTCTAGTGTGCCCAGCAAGATTGCTTCGTTCCGGTGGAGAATAGTATGCCAATTTGTTCACAGTGGATTCAACGAATAAAATGGCCGTTGGACCGACGGAGGGCAAACCCTCTGGGCCGCCGTCAGGGAGCTTCTCGCCCACGCACCATCAGATTATAGCACCCAGCCCCATCCTGGCCGTGCCCACGCTGGCCTTCTCCGCCGCCCAGGTGGAGATCGTGTGCAAAACGCTCGAGGATTCCGGCGACATTGAGCGCCTCGCCCGCTTCCTGTGGAGCCTGCCGGTGGCCCTGCCCAACATGCACGAGATCCTCAACTGTGAGGCAGTGCTTCGGGCCCGAGCAGTGGTCGCCTATCATGTGGGCAACTTCAGGTAGGATTCCAAAGGATAAAAAACATTAAAAACAAAAAAAACATTCTAAAATCCCCGAAAGATCGAATGACAGTGTGCGCTGATTAACCCCTCCGGTTATTCGATAGTTTTCCACGACAGCTTAATGAGAACACAATGCAGCTTACGTCTAAATTAATAAACAATGGAATTAATTTACTAATTAAAGAACTGGCTGGCCATCCAAAGCCAAGTGGAGCAGGCTTGATTAATAAAACACCGACCGAACAATAGCTTCCCCAGCAGGATGGGATCGGGGTCTTATTCTCATTTTGGTTGGAGTCTGATGTTTCGGCTTCCGTCGCCATATATCATCTCACATTACACTTGAGGATCTAAGACAACCGGAAACAATTCATTCAAATCGAAATATTTCGCAATAAGCTTTCACAAAGGAAGATTAGCTTTTTTTTTTGGGGGTTTCCGCGGGGGGTTTTAGCCTTGGGATCTCTCTTTGGCTCTAGACACGACAGTCATTTAACTTGTTTCGAAGTAGGCAAACAGGTCCCCCGGCAATTGATATTGACAATTATCCGATCGGTTCCAGCAGTCAATATGACTATAAACGGCTGCATCAGGTTTTTGCATTTCATCTTTTGCAAATCAAATGAATCTAACTGCAGCCATGTAATTCGAGTACAATCAATCAATGTCCCAATAAAATATAATATATGGTATTTGGTATCTGCTATATGGTATATGGTATATGGAATATGCATATACGGTCGGATCTGTCGCTGCAAGTGATTTGATTGCTTTGACTTGGTAAATAAACGACTTCCAATTAAAATCATTTGACGTACTCAAGCGAGCTGTCAGCACCAGTGACGCCAATAAATGCTTATGAAATTGTTTCAAAATACATATGGCGGGTCTCAGGACTCCCGTCGCGTCGCCCGGGGGTATGGGGGTGATGGCTTTCACAGCGGGCCGTCCCAAAATCCCCTTAAAGGGGTTGAAGTCTCACCAGCACTCTGTCACTTCCCCTTTCGATCTATTGGATTAAATGTTCGATTTCGACTTCGGCTGCGATCTGACTTTGTTTCTTTTCAGGGAACTTTATGCAATAATAGAGAATCATAAGTTTACGAAAGCATCCTATGGAAAACTGCAGGCCATGTGGCTGGAGGCCCACTATATAGAGGCGGAAAAGCTACGTGGTCGGTCACTAGGTAAGTAACTAAATCACTAACTAAAGAAAGCTTAAGAGATATGAGATAATCCAAAAGGAATATACCACAGTGCGTATACTTAATATTTGAGTTACTGAACCACAACTCTATTTAATATTTGAAATACTTTGATATAATTTCAAAATCTCATTAAATCTTAAACTTAAAAACTTGTAAGCTATAAAAATTATCTTAAGTCTTTTGTAACTTAATCCTTAATCCCTAAAAATCCTATCTTTTCAGGCCCCGTTGACAAGTATCGGGTGCGCAAAAAGTTCCCCCTGCCGCCCACCATTTGGGACGGGGAACAGAAGACGCACTGCTTCAAGGAGCGGACGCGTAGCCTACTGCGCGAATGGTACCTACAGGATCCCTATCCGAATCCCACCAAGAAACGGGAACTGGCCAAGGCCACTGGCCTGAATCCCACGCAAGTGGGCAACTGGTTCAAGAATCGCCGCCAGCGGGATCGGGCAGCTGCTGCCAAGAATCGGTGAGTTCATGCCACAATTATTGGTTATTAGATTGGGTATCCCAGAATCCAGCTAGCTAGAAGAAGTAACTCGATCGGATCTGGACTGGGCTGGGGACACTGGGGTCTGTGCTGTGGAGTCTGTAAGGCGATACCATCATCGTCCTCCTCCACCGCCGCCGGAGTGGGAGGATGTGGAGTTGGGGGGAGGGGCACAGTTGCACAGGAGCGTTTCCATTTCATTGATCCGTGCCGATCTGTGGCAGCAGCGGTGGCGGCACCCAGTGAAGCGTTCTCGATTTCTGATGTTTGTTGCGGTCTTTGCTTTTTGGCCACATTAAACTGACCGCCGACGATGACGATGTGGATGTGGCTCTGGCTCTGGCTGAGGCTGAGGCTGTCGTTGGTTTATGGGTATGAATGGTGCTCATAATGATGAACATAATAATGATTATGATGACAGTGTAAACGCAGCTCATGCTTCACCAGGAAAGGTGCAACCGCTGGCTTGCAAAATATTCATATATAATGTATATATGGTATGGTGGAGGAGAGTGGAGTTAAAACTCGACCAATTCGCGCGAAGTTTAAATGAAGAAGATCCCCGCTCGAAGTGAAAGAAGGCAAGTTAAGTGGAATGACACTGCAAGAAATCAGCAGTCTGGAGCCCCAAATCGTAGTCCACTCAAGTGTTTGGCTGCTCCTGCAGATGCGCAAATATTTCAAGTTCTACCTGCTCGAAAAAAGACCAAGAGATGAACAAGATGGAAAAAAAAGGAAAAGTAAAAGAAATCGAGACAACATTTGGCATTCCTTGGAAACCTGGCAAGCTGAGAGATCTCACATCCCATTCGATGCCAAAACCATTTTCGATCCAAAACGATCCCCGTGTTTATTAAGTTAGGAGCCCGGAGAGTCTCTTCGCCTTGCCTTCGCCAAATTGAATGAATCTGCACAAAGCTTGGCGCTATAGCCAAAATAAAAAAAAAATTCAAAAAAAACGGAATACTATATAAAAAACCAGATGCAAGCGGGGTCATTAGTTAAAATGATGGCGATTATTTTGTTGGCTTTACAAGCCGAGCCACGGATACGCGGCCATTACAACTCCATCCGCACTCGATCCATCCATCCAAACTGTATTCGAGTTTGGAGTTTCGAGTTTAGAGCTTCCAGCTTCGAGTTTTTCGAGGTTTCGTGTAGTCATCGTGTTATTAAGCAGCAGAACCAGCCAAGGCGGCAAAAGCCTACCCAGATGAGACAAAAAGGCTCACGAGTGTATGCACAAATATGTGCTATATGCCCATATAGAAAAAGAATAAAAATATGAAATTAAAAGCCGTTCATATACTGGCATATACATATATTTTTCCCCCCGCCAGACCAGACCAGACCAGACCAACTTCGACAGCGCCAGGCGGCAGACAGTGGCGGTGGCACTGCCCTCGGTACAGGCACAGGGGATAGGCGGTCTAAAGGGGGGTTCAGACCATTCTAACCGGGGTCCAAAACCAGACCCCAACAGGCGCTGACTGTTCAAGCATTGTGCGCTGAAAAATTGTTAACATTTTTGCTACTGCACTTGTACGAACGCGGGGCAGCAGACGGGCATCAAGTCTCAACGAAATTATGAAAGAACTTTTGAGATGAACTTGAACGAAGAGGTCTTACCCTTTACTTTCAGAGGCTTTTGCCTCTTCTCAATTTTTAGAGAAAACGCAATTTTTGTAAGAAACAGGGCAGGCATCTAAACACCCTCAACCAATTCCAATATCTGTTCTTTTAATTTTAAGAAAATTATAGGATTTTATTTGGAAAAAAAAAACCGGATACCTTTTCTATAATAGCTAATGTTAATTTTTAAATAAAATATACCATAAAGCGTTAAAGCATAGTATTGAAAATTAAGGTCTTCAGGCCAAAAGTGTTCGACTTGAAAGCCCCCAAGCTTATACCATCGAATATACCCCATTCTGGAGCAACTGCGAGGTAAACTAAAGGCAGCTGGAGCTGTGAAACGAGATCGTGAAGGCAGAAGGAGCCGCGATGTCAAACGGTTGTTGGGTTATATGTATCTTTTTTTTCATATCCATGGCTTTTTTTTTGCGATGTGGCTCCGGTCGAGATGGTAAATCAATCAAATGCACAGCTCCACTCTATTAGAAAGGCTGGTGCCTGGGGAACTCGCCAACTGGCGGCGGAGAAAGGCCGTGGACGAGCGTTTCCCGCTCCCGAATTGAGTAATTAAGACATCGGAGATTGATCGACTCCACTAAACTCGACTTCAGTCATTACGGCGGAAACTTGGCGCTGTAAACTTGTCATGCTCTGATGCCTCCGACTACCACCGAGCCGAACCAAACCAAAACCGAACCAACCGCCAAGTGGCCATTGCAAATGGAGTGCACAAGGGGCTGCCACAAATGCTGTTGTTGTTGCAGTTGGAAGATATTCAAAATCAAGATTACCGCACATTATAGAGGAATTCTCTGACAAGGCAATATGAATGGGTAGCTGTTTCCTCCCGATTCTCCCGAGTCATCACCATTTTTCCCTGATTGTGATTCTGAGGAATCTCATGGAGGGAGTTGAGTTAGGGTATCGTTTCTATTTCTTATCTACTATATATCTGGGTTTTTGGTTTATTGCTTGGAATCTGAGAGTTGCATTTAAAAATTTAGTTATTTTTTTAATTCTAATTACCATCTAGGATTGTAATAGGTTTGTCGAGTAAGCAAAAAAATATTTAAATGAAATGAATTTTTATTTTCATCAAAACTATGAGTAGAAACTATATTTTATAGTTGTTTAATTGCTTCTACAAGGCATTATCGATAAGACCTTTAAAGACACATTCATATATTATCTCATTAATTAATTAAAACTTCCCCTGAGACCCCAAAGATGATGTAAAGTTTTCTGTTTAACAAAATCTGAGTCATACGACCGCCTTTCAAGAGGGAAACCATTAGAGAAAACAAATCGCTTGGGTAGAAACTTCTATTGTGCAAATTCATTAAGCCGAGACTCCGGCTTGAGGCTTGATTTTGATCAATTACAATTGCCACTTGACGGTGCACGACACGAGCGATACAAGATACGAGACTCTTGGCCAAATCGCCGAATCAGCCGCCCGCCGATGGTTTTATTGCGTGAATTACCCGGCGAACGGCTAGCGAAATGCGTGGCTCGTGGACAGCCACTGGAGATGAGATTCGCCCACATCCATCACATAAAAACACATGTATCCAAGTGTACTATATATTCAGACCGTCTCGAGCCTCGAAACGATGTCCAAATTAGGGGCACAGTGGGCAGTTACCCCAGAACACCCCAGAAACACCGAAAACACAGAAATCACAAATGTACGAACATTTCGTTAATGGGAATCGAATAGCCCATGTATTCCCGGGTGAAGTGTAATAAAGTTCGAGCACAATAAACACAACAAATATGTTGTAAATGTCAATTATCAATCAAAATAACAAACACGCACTCGGCCCGCCTGGGCATATAGAGATACATATGGAGACCAAGAAGCTGGCACTAAGGTTTGAAGGGGTTCTCTGCTCATCGATTTCCCAGCAGCAGCTCCCAGAATTCTAATGAAGAATGGTCGATTCAGAAGCGAAAAGATATATTCCCAAAAACCCCCACCAATACTGGTCCAATATCCGAATCGGAGCGGAGGGCCCACTTGTCGGAGAGCTCGGACAGGCCACTTGAGTCCCATAAGTACCCATACCCATGCCCCATTGCCCATGGCCGGGAGATGTGATTTCGAGGGAGCTGCAAGATGGGAACTGGGAACTAAGAGATGGGAGCTGAGAGCTGGAAGCTCGGACTCTGACCACTCGACGCTGTTTGCACAACACCAACTACCGTTTTCGGTGGCTTGTGAGAAAAATATACAAGCAACTCTTCAGGGAGAATTGTAGCTTCAGGTCTGCACTCGAAGAAATCTTTGCGGGAGAAGGATCTCATCAAATTGATTAAATATTGGAGAACTCAAAGGTTTTCCCAGTGTAGCTTCAATGTCGGACACTTCAATGCCCCATAGAAAGTGTATTAAAGAAATTAATAAGAAGTCAGACTCGAGTCATCATCGGCAGTCGGATGACTCTTCATCGATGGATTGGATTGAATGGGAATGGGATTCGATTGGGTATTGGGTATGGGTATTGTTGGATGGATGGGCACAAGCAACACCGGATGTGGCCTTTGTTCAATTGACAAGTGAAAGAAGCTCGACAAATAAGCGGACAAGCAGCAGCACCTCCGTCCTCCATCCTCCATCCTCCATCCAACACCCCGAGGGTTGAAAATATTCAAATGCCATTCGAGGCAGCGAATTTAAATCCCGTCTGTCAACAGAGATCGCAGGACTATAAAAAATTGTGTAAAAGGAATAAATATAAAATAAATGTTGATTGCATTTAGGAACCCTCTCGGGGGACTCTCAGAGGACTGCTCTTATTTTTTTTTTTGCTTTTGCCCTGTTAACTGCTCATGCCTGTCCAAATATTTACACAATTTACGGAATACAATTTTTGAGAATTGACACAATTTACTGAAAAGTGGGTTGCGATGCAATTTTCTGCCTGATTTTGTCGTTGATTTCGTCGTATTACCTGCCCGGTTCATTGATTTATCCATCTAGCTGATTTTACTTTAAGCCATATTTAAGGGAAAAGCATCTTTTGTTGGTCTAGTAGCGGATCATGTTACGGCCAGGCATTCTTTTGCAGCCTGAATGGGTTTCACTTCGATTTCGATTCGATTCGAATCGGAATCTCCATCTTCTGACATGAGCCGATTAAGCGACATTTCAATGCATCTCGGGTTACTTTGCCCTTTTGACTATACCATATTGGTGAGATATACCTACATATATTCAAAAGGTGGATATGTATGTCCAGCCGGGTAATTACATACGTGTCATTTCGGTTAGGTTAGGTGCCACGGGGTATCGGATTTCAGTAAACCCTTTGCCCTTGTCCTTGCCATAGCTGCCAAGTCAATTGTGTGGAAAATACGTACATATTCCAAGCCAAGCATATAGCCAAGTTTTCAGTTTCTTGGCTCAAGCCGAGCGTGCCAAGTCCAGTCCGGCCAATCCATTCAAGTGTAAAAATGGCCTTGAGTCGCCCGTGCCAAAAATCAGGCTACCAGAAGCTATGGTAGAGATTTTTTTGTTCCTGAAAGGAAGATAGTATTACAATCTACCGATTTCGAGCATAAAAAAAAGGTTCTCGGTGAAATGTTTCTTATATTTAAGCAGGTTAATGATAGAATTTGTTTGATCGTTTTCGTTGGAAATCCTTTTGTAATGTCCTAACCTCATCATAAAAGTACTCAGTAAAAAGACAAGTAAAAGCTCTAGAAATAATCTTGATTGGATAAAAAAATGATAAACTTCTAACCTGTGTAATATGACCAGGCCAATCCAAAGCCCCCTTTTTTTTGAGAATGTCATAATATATGGGTATAGCTATGATTCCAGTAAAGGATTCAGCCCGAGAAGCCACCGTTTCAGGCTAAAGTTTCGCTCGAAAGACCCACCGCACACGGACTGCTTCTAAACATTCCCATAGTTAGGCGGTTCCAATTACCAAAAAAATAAAGAAATAAAGCCGTAAAACCTTTCTAATCGGTAGGCCCTTTTCGGGAGTAGTATCCCAGCAGCGGGTAGTCGCCAACAATTCATCAGGCCGCCGAGTGATCCATCAAGTTGGCACATTAGGCAACTAAACGATTTAATGTTCTCCCTTCGAAAGGCGAAAAAGACAAAAGGTAGCCGCAGATACATTTCGCAGCTCCAGCTCCAGCCGAGATGAACCGAAGGTGGCTCTGGTACTGGCGGTACTTTGTGGTGTCTCTGCTCCCGCAACCATTAATCACACAACACGAGCCCCACCAGGATCCAGAGGAGATGGAGGCATGGAGGCAACAAATTGCAGCAAGTTGCAGCAAGAGCGAATCCTAACCGATAATTATGACATTGCAGGAGTCATGGCGTGATGGCAAATGATGATGTATATGAGAATGCTCCTCCGCCCTCTATCCATTCCATCCATACTCTTCTCGCTCTCCCTCACACTCCTCTAGAGAATCTCTCCCCTTCTCGCTGCCGGTGTTAAATCCATGGCGGCTAATCAAGTCATCTTCTGGCCTTTTGTTTTGGCCACAGACAATTTATCTTAAGCATGTGTGAAAGTTGTGTCAGATTTATGGTCAGTCTTGCACTGCGCCGCCCCTACTCCTGCTCCTGCTCCTGCTCCGTCTCCGGCTCCTTTTGACCCCCTGCCGCTTCGGGGCAGCGACAAATGGTACGCCTTAATGGGCGTTTAACCGCTCCAGCCACTGCTGCAACATCGACTAATTAACGATGCCGCTGCCAAAGTCTTGATGGCTTCATGTTGCATGCTTGCAACACGCGGAAAATGCTCCCCTGCAGGCTGCAACTGTGCAGTGAACGTACATAAATGGTGGAAAAGCCTTGAGAACCGATCGAATTCTATACAAGATTTGATCATTAGAGGTTTCCCAGTCTATTATTGATTTTGTTTGTCTTCTGATTTTTATTGGCTATAATATGGTGTTTTTCTCTTTAATTTAGAAGACTTTTATAAGATTTTAATTGGCATAGGAAGGGTGTGATTTTAAAGTGTTTTTAAGATTGGGTATGATGAGTTTCAGATAGACCTTCAAAAGGATATATTAACTACCAGGATTATAAATTGAGGTTACTATAAAATTTAGAAATAGTTATTTAATCCCAATATTCCAAAAATAGTTAAAATAAATTACTAAGATATTCCCTTGAAGGATCCAAGATATAGCCATCCTTAGAAGCTAAGCAAAAATGTCCAGAATGACTTACTAACCTTTTTACTTGTCTATTTCTTCTAGCATCCAACATAACCAGAATAGCTCCGGCTTGGGCTGCCGCCGGCGGGCGGACGGAGCCGCATCACCCACTCCGTCGGACAGCTCCGACTCGGACATCTCCCTGGGAACGCACTCGCCAGTGCCGAGCAGCCTGCAACTGCAACACAGTCCCGGCAGCACCTCCAACGGCGCCAACGACCGCGAGGAGAGCCTGAGCGTGGACGACGACAAGCCGCGGGACTTGAGCGGCTCCCTGCCTCTGCCCCTGTCGCTGCCCCTGGCCTCGCCTACGCCGACACCTCCCCACTTGCCGACGGGCTATGGAGCGGGTCCTGGAGCCGGACCTCCGACCGGAGGTCCTCCGTTGACAGCCGCGGGCTGTCTGCCGCCCTTCAAGCTGGACGCGGCCACCAGCCTGTTCAGTGCCGGGTGCTATCTGCAGAGCTTCAGCAACCTGAAGGAGATGTCGCAGCAGTTCCCCATCCAGCCGATTGTCCTGCGACCGCATCCGCAGCTGCCCCAACCCTTGGCCCTAAACGGCGGATCCGGCGGAGCGGGACTGCATCATCCGGCGTACGCGGCGGCCTACAGCGTGGAGTGCGTGCCGCCGTCGCACCCGCCGCCCAAGTTGCGCATCAACTCGCCGGAGAAACTCAACTCGACGGCAGTGGCGGCGGCTGTTTCGGGTGGCGTGCCACCGTCCGTGGCGACCACGACCGGCTACCACCACAGCGGACAGTTGCTGCTGCATCGTCCCTTCTCCACGTCCCCGGAGCTGAAGCACAGTGCCCCGGAGATCACATGATATCAGCGGGTCTGAGGTGTCTATATTATATAACCCCAAAAAGAGCATCCTTTAAAGAGAAACCCAGAGTATCCCGACGCAACCCGAAGCACTAAGGCCCAGCTATTCAGATTGTTTCAATTGTAATTCTAAGTTAGATGTAGTTACGCCTAATATCCCAGCCAGATCGGAACTGTTTCCTATATATATCATGATCCATAATTACCTTTACCGTTATCCACAGCAGCAGCAAAAAAAAAACAAAAATTCGAGAATGAAAAACAAAAATACAAGAAAGAATATAAGAAAATGCAAAAAAAAATTCAAAAATTAAAAATTAAAGGCAACATCGCACACTCACTCTTCAAAGATAGCCATTTAAGTCGAAAAAAATTGAGATATATAGAAAATAAAGCTAAAATCCCGAAACTGAGATTTTGAATTCGATACGTTTTCATTCTAATTTTGTGTGTGTGTACGTATTTGTAAATAGAGTTTAAGTATGCAAATCATAGAGCTTACGTATACATTTAGATTGCAATAAAAAACGAACCGAATGACAGTTAAGAATTTGAATCATTACCCAAAAGTGTTTTATTTCTTTTAAGTCTCTTGATAACTATTTAGGCTATTAGGCTTGAAAAATAGCCTCAAACTATTTTAACGAAAGTGACATGCCTTTTAGAATAAAAGATAAATTGTAGGGGAACTTAAACATTCTGAATTTTAGGTTTGTGTCTATTTAGATGGGGGATGAGGGATTTTCATAGATAATTTTCAGAAAATACATATATAAATTGGTGAGAATACAAATTTTGGAAACTTTCTTAAGCCATATTTCAGTAATGTTTAACCATTTATTATCTCTTTGAAAAGTTGAGCAAAAAGGGTCTGATTTTATTCTTCCAAGCTATGATTGGAAGTGATAGTACTTAAAGAAACATAACATTCAAGAAGGTATAACCTTTCCAGAAAGAACTCATGTAAGCCAAGTTATGAATAATAATATCCTAGGATATAATAGAATCTTGTTAGTAATAATTTTGATTAGTAATAATAATGGCATCTCTGAAACGGGGCTTTTATATATCTTAACCTGCAAATTGACAAAAAGTTTAAAGTTTTTGAAAAGTATTCTCAAAAAAGACTATTATGACTATTAAAAAATATGACTATTTGGTGGCTTAATTTTATGTTAAACATATATGGGAAAAGGGAAATTATATGATAGTAAAATGATAAGATTGGTACGGTATAGCATCCTTAGATCGCTAGTAATATATAGGGAAAAAAATGTATGGTTATGAGATGCATTTTTTTGAATGAAAATCCTGGACTTAAAGAACCATTTCTTAAACAAAAGCCTCTAAAAGTATTTCTCATTCATAAAACAAAATGTTTTCCGTAGTTGTCCGATCTGCGAATGTTATACCTTTGAAATCTATCTTTTCGTTTACTGATTGAAGTCCTTGTATTTCTTTTCCGAAACAGAGGGAAAACTACTGAAATGTTGAGTTGAAAGATTCTTAAATGATGGCATTTTGGTCGAATATCTTGGTCTTGACATGACCATCTATCTTCAAAACATTTACATATCCATTAAAAATGGAGCTAAGGGCTATTGATCTTGAGGAATATATGTATAGTAGATCCACCTTTGTTGGCTATCATAAGCAGCTTTCCCTTTGGCAAATACAGACCCCAAGCCTAAGCAAATACTCCCGAAACCTGCAACAGGATAGGGAAAATTTCCTTTCTCTTTTTCCGATCTACAGTGTAGATTCTACACTAACTACCAGATACATTCATCTGCTGCTAATGTTGCTCCCACTGCTGTTATTGTTGATCTGCCCCCCACCCACTCCTCCAGGCCTCCTGATCGTTGTTGATATTTTGAAATAAAATATCAATTTCTGTGTAAACACCGGCCAGGAGTCGGAGAACGGACGACGGTGACTCCGTCAGCCAGAAGTCATCGGAAAGCCAAGTCAAGTTGGAAGGGAAAGAACAACAATATCCACGATGATCGCCTCTCCATCTCATCTCATCCCATCCCATCCAGCCGAAGACGAACTGGAAACTGGAAGACGATGGCGTCGGCGTCGGCGGATGGCGCCAACGATGACATGTCCGGCCTTGCCATGTCCTACTTGAGTGGTTTACTTAGCTGCCTTATGAAAATATCCAATGCTGTGGGCAAACACTGCATCTACTTACATATATAGTATGTAGGTAGGTATATGTATATATCTATATAGTATATCCACAGCCGCAAAGAAGACCAAAACCGAAACCTCTCACCAAAAACAAAACCGAGGGAGATGAAAAAGTGACGCGTCACTGTCACTCACACAAATGCACCACATCATCGTCATTATGGGCTCAAAAGTCTCCGATGTGCCCTGGGAACAGACTGCATTATATATATATATATATGTAAGAGAGTGGAAGATGTAACAGCAGCAGTATAAAATCAGCAGTATGGCAGCAGTGTTAAAAATCAGCAGTATGGCAGCAGTGTTAAAAATCAGCAGTATGGCAGCAGTATGAAGATCAGCAGTATGGCAACTTAGAAGAAAAGCGTCGAGAGGGCAGCATCGAGGAAGCAGCAACAGCAGAGAGAACGACGGAAAGCAGCAGCAGAAATTATCTTAATTATAAAATATAAGGAATCAGAATCTGTAACATTTAATACACCTAACTATCTTTAATAAAACTGAGTGGAGCTAAAAACTCTCCTCACATTTGGGGGCTCGTCCTAACCAGAAAATTACAAAGTGACGCCGTCCCGAAAAGTCTTTAAAAGTGAAGAAGTTGGATCACAAAAGGGAATGAGAGCAAATGAGTGAAAAGTCCAGACAGCAGGAGACTTCTAGAATACCAATTGCGAAAGGAAAACAGCCGTACTACACAAGATCAGTTGCCGCAGCAGATAAAAATCGGAAAATGATTGAGCCGGAGAGAAACGTTGAAGCAAGTGGAGAAAAAAATATGAGTGAGACAAAGAGCTACGTGCAGAGTCTCGTCGAAGCAAGTGTGACTAAAACACAAAGCAACGTACAGAATCCCGTGGAATCGAGTGGAGGAACAAATGTCGCAGCTGAGGCAATTGCAAGCTGTTCGATCGCCGAAAACACAAAAACGCTGCAGGATCTTGTTCAGCTTATGGCATTAAAAATGGGAGCAGATGAACAAAATAGCCGTTGCTCAGTTACAGCGGAAAGTTTCGCGAAAATAATTCCGGAGTTTGACGGTGAATCCATGCCGGTCAAGAATTGGTTTGACAATTTCGAGCTGAATGCTGAAGCTTACGATTTGAACTTAAAGCAGATGTATGTACAGGCACGTGCCAAAATGACGAAAACGGCTAAATTGTTTTTGGATTCGACTTACGTACACCAATACACAGAGATGCGGATGTTGCTGCAGGCAGAGTTTAGTCGTCAATACGTATGCAGTGCAGATCTTCACGAGCAGCTTCGGGATCGCAAGAAACGCAAGCAGGAATCATTTCACGAATATATTCTTCAGATGAGAAAGATTGCAGCACTTGGCAGCATCGATGCAAGTTCTGTAATCCGCTACATAGTAGACGGCCTGAACTTAAGGAGTGACTTCAAATACACCCTGTACAATTGCAAGTCTTTCAAAGAGCTGCAGGAGCAATATGACGTATTTGAACGCGTCAACGAAAAGAGCTTCAAGCCGTTCCAGCTGAACGATGCAAAATGGACGCCGAATCAAAAAAAAACAGTACGAGTTCAACGACCGAAAGAGCTACTGTTTTAATTGTGGATCAGCTGATCATCTTCGCAAGGATTGCAAAGCCGCCACGAAATGCTTCAGTTGCAACAAAGAAGGACACATGTCTAGAGATTGCCCTAGGTCAGCTGCTGGTGTCCAAGTTGTGCGCAGCGGAAGACGGATGAAAAAGGTCATCATCAACGACGTCGAAGTGGAGTGCCTAGTGGATACTGGAGCTGATGTATCTATATTGAGAAAGTTCATCTTTAACAAAATCCCAAATGTCTTCTTGGAGAGATGTACATCGACGCTCCGCGGACTAGGAAAGAAGATCACGTACCCAGAGGGATGCTTTTTTGCTGAGGTTGCAGTAGATCACGAGATAACCCAACACAAGTTCGTTGTTGTAGAGGATGAAAATATGGAGTATGACGCATTGCTTGGATTCGATTTTGTTTCAAAGTTCAATCTTTCGCTGTCGCCAGAGGGATACAAGTTTTCTTCCCCGCATGGGAAGAAAGCTTGTGAGGAACCGAATGAGATGAGTATTTATAGTATTGTTAATACAAATGATGAAATCGATGTTCCTACGCAGTTTAAAAAGGAAGTATCGATGCTGATCAAGAACTACAAGGCGGTGGATTCAGTAGCAGAGGTTCCAGTCAAGCTGCGAATTGTCCCAGATGGTGAGATTATCCCATTTCGTCAATCTCCGAGTCGATTTGCGATTGCCGAACAACAGGATGTCGAACAGCAGATCGTAGAATGGCTATCTGCTGGAATTATACGCCCATCTACATCAAACTTTGCTAGCCGTCTGGTGCTGGTAAAAAAAAAGGATGGCACACACCGTGTTTGCGTTGATTTTCGTAAGCTGAACTCGATGGTATTGAGAGATTGTTTTCCTGTCCCTGTTATAGAGGACGTACTTCAAAAGCTGCAAAAAGCGCGATACTTTACCGTGATGGACTTGGAGAATGGTTTCTTCCACGTTGCCATTGAGGAAGAGAGCAAGAAATTTACAGCGTTTATAACCAAATCCGGATTGTACGAATTCAATAGAACACCGTTTGGATTTCGGAATTCGCCAGCTGTATTCATTCGCTACGTTAATTACGTATTTCAGGAGCTGATGAACAAGGACATACTCGATTTATATATGGATGATATAATAATCCACGCCGAGACTGCAGAGCAATGTTTGCAAAAGATGGCACTCGTCTTTAAAAGAGCTGGGGCGTTTGGCCTGAAGATCAAGTGGCGAAAATGTCACTTCTTGCAGAGAAGAATTTACTTCTTGGGCCACAACATTGAAGACGGAAACCTGTGGCCTGGACAAGAGAAGACTGCAGCGGTCAGCAAATTTTCGGTGCCGAAAAACGTCAGAGCAGTCCAAGCTTTTCTGGGGCTGACGGGATTTTTCAGAAAATTTATTCAGAATTATTCGCAAATTGCACGCCCGTTAACTGACCTGCTGCGCAAAGATGTTCGTTTCCAAATGGCTGAGCCTCAGATGAACGCGTTCCAGAGTTTGAAGGATGCGTTGACAAAGGAACCCGTTTTGAAATTGTACACCAGAGGAGCTAAAACTGAGTTACATACAGACGCATCAAAAGACGGATTTGCAGCGGTATTAATGCAGTGGTTCGATGACAAACTTCACCCTATCCAGTATTGGAGCAAGAAGACAACAGGAGCTGAGTCCCGCCAGCACAGTTATATCCTGGAAGCCAAAGCCGTGTATCTAGCGGTACAAAAATTCAGACATTATCTGCTGGGATCGCCGTTTAAGCTGATAACGGATTGTGTCGCTTTTAAACAAACTCTACAGAAGGCGG